TCACATTTTAAATAGGTTTATATTTATTAGGAAAAAAAAAAAAAAAAAAACAGTGATTGCCTTTGAATTAGGAATGGAAGCAGAAAAATTACCATTTTCATTGAACTCCCCCATTACCCTCCCCAACATTGGCCTATTTTTGTGTTCGAGGGGTGGGAGACTAAAATAATATATCTTCTATTGCAAATACATCAATAGTGGCAGTTTGGCGCAGCAGTTGAGGTTTGGGCTTTCAATTGTAAGGTCGGAGTTTTGAGTCTCCGCTGTGGAGATTTGCTTGTGTCCTTGGGAAAGGCACTTTAGCTACATTGCATAAGTCCACCCAGCTGTATCAATGGGTACCAGCAAACTGCTGGGGACTAACCTGCGACGGACTAGTGTCTGATCCAGTGGGAGTACAACTCTCATTCACTTCACTACAGAAACTGGGGATAAGCTGCAACCCTATGGGCCCCAGTGGCTCGGATAGGTTTAGTTTTAGTTAGTTAGTTGCAAATAAATCATATACAGTAAAAATCCAATGGCTAACATCACCGTATTTACATTACGTACAAAATCGATTACAAATAATTTAAAAGTATAAATTTTTACCATCAAAAAGGCACACAAAACAAAACAAATATTTACGCCAATTAAAAGTAAAATTATTATTATACTAAATCCCAATAAACCACCTGAATCAATTTAATTTAAACCAGAGGAACTATGATATGCTGTATTCATATACTGTACCTTAAAAGTGATTCTAAATTTACATTAATGCTGTTTGTACAGCGAACAGCTTTCAGCCTTAGAAAAAAAAACTAATATCGACCAATATTTACTTAGCATACTACCGTTTAGATAATATTTGCATTCTACCATGTGGTATAAATGATGGTATATTAATTGTCCATGCCAGATGTTTACTATCAGATAAATTTTCCAACTGGTGTACAATTAATATGAGTTAAATTTTTCTATGTTTCACATAGCATTTAATTTACTGTCTGTAGTTACCAAAGTTTGGATAAATGCTTGATTGATCTTTTCTTCCAATAATAGTAACTGATAATATTATTAGAAATAACAATATTGATATTCGAATATATAGTTTCAATCATCTGGTCATCTGAATTGCTTATAAACTATAACTGTTTGATCAGCAATACATGCACAAGCATGTTAATATTGTTGTTGACAATATATATTAACAATAATAGTAATATTGTTTGAAGGTTTGCATGGCAAAGTAATAATATATTAATGTTACGGTACACCACAAAGATAGTTCTGAAAAGAACTGTCGTTTGTTGAGAATGTCTCAACGTTTCTATTGAGATGCTTCAGTCGTTTTCTGGAGAATTATATCTGCATAATAATAGTATAGTAGAACCTCGATTTTACGTACGGTACGGGACCGGAGGGCGCTACGTAAATCGGGGGATTCATAAAATAGAGGTTGGGTTAAATTTGTGGTAACCTTTGACCTAATACTTACGTAACGCTCAATATACGTATGTATGAACCAACAATGTTACCTAGCTAGGCTAGACCTAGCTTCTAGTCCTACGAATAAAATCACTTTACGATGTCATAATAACGTGTTGAAATAAAACCATGTGTCTAGTGTATTAATTCATCACTTTATGTCTTTTATTTAACAAAAGAACGTGAAAATATTGTAAGATTACCTATACGACAAAGGTATAACTTGGGAATTCCCCTTCATGCCTATTCTAAACAACAGAGCTGTGGTGTTGTCTGGGCCTGTTGAGACAAACTAAACCCATGTGCACTGGTCGAGCCAACCAATTAATGTTCGTGTACGTGAAACAGCAAAACCATGTGCACTGCACTCGGCGAGCCAACCAATTAGCGTTCGTGTACGGAACTGCCTACTCAGCTTCGTGTAGAAAATTAGTTTTTCCATGGTTTGCCACACGAAGCTAAGGAGGAAAGCAATTATTTTGAGCACCATCGGTAGTTGTTCATCTCACTCAGTTCACTTGGTTTTAGATTATAGCAACCCAGTATTAGACTCAATCAACGTTGCTGTTTAATGAAAATACGTTGCATTATAGTTTGTTTATTGTTATAGTTTATTGTTATAGTCTTTTTATTTATGGTTGCTCTGAAAAGGGTCGTTTGTTTTGAATATTTTCGGGGTTTTGATGACGTCATCGTCGATACGAGGCGTACGTAAAACCGAGGGTTCGTATAACTGGGGTACGTAAAAACAAGGTTCTACTGTAATAGCAATAGTATTACTGTAATAATAGTAATAAAAGAAATAATAATAATGATAATTTATAATTATATTTTATAATAGTTAATATAATGTACAAATATTTGTTTGGTTACAAATAATTATACAGTAACATCTCCTAATTATAAACATCCCAATTACGAACTCTCGATTTTACAAACTCGATTTGCAATACGAACGATCTTTTTTACCTACAAAAACAATTCAAATTTCTGTATATTTAAAAGTCTCAAAAAACACTATGAAATGTTTCATTAGCTAAGAAAGAAAACAATTCAACCAATAAATTGACATAAAACTTTTTTAAATCGTGAAATATCTATCGTTTTCAGTAGAGATATAATATTCCATTTGTTTAAGCAGCTCCTGAATATGCAGTTGGAATACAGAATCTCACTTTTGATCATTGGGGATGCTATTCAGATAGATTCGCGATCTGTAAGAAAAGGATAATGACACTTGTTTTTGCAATAAATGATCATTTTTTTCCAAATAAAATTAATTGCTAGTTTGATGTCCCCGTCCTCATCAAATTTTGCAGCCTCATGAAAAGAATTTGCTATTTGCTGTTTTTAAAAAAATATCATTAATTTTTTCATGGACAATAAAAATAATGACTATTTGAAAGAATGATGTCAAGCCAAAGAAAAGGTGGGAACATAAATGGCAGAAATACATTTATCCAAAGATTCAATTTACTTCCTTTATAAAAAAAGACTATTTTTACTATTTACGGGCCTGTTTTCCATTAGTATATAGGATAGTAAAAAGCAAATAGTAAATACCCTCACCAAAAAATAATTTCAAATTTCGGACGTGAAAGTAACAATTAATTTTATTTGGCCTTTGAATGGTATCGTCTGCTTCACAGTCAGTTGTGGTCATGTTTATAAACAGACACAATTTAACATAGCATTAGTACCTCAAATTGGCCCGTCCTTGATCCTATTATTGTCTCTAATTCCTAGCTTTATTTTTCTGCGAATATTTAATTATGATTAATGTATAATTTTATTGGCTTGCAGGATGTGAAGATTGCTTTGTGTTGACATGTTAATGGAATTTAACTGCTTTGAAATGTATCTGCCCCAAAATGGGCACTATACTGAATTACTTACACAGAAAGATAATTACTTTACTAATTACTTTAATTCGTTATGATGTATAAATTTCCATCTTGATATTCAATTTTGACAGTAGTTTCTACCTGGTATGCATTTGTTTCTTCTAATATGCCACATAGATATTGATTTATATTACGTTGTACATTTGGCACGAAGAAGCCAAATGTGCAAATAGCAGTGGTGACAGTAATAGTGGTAATATAAATGGCCACTACTTGCCGTTGCTATATTAATAAATATAGGTAGATTAATGTTAGTACAGATACCTACTCTCGTTCCCAGACGAGGGGTCCAAGTTCCCCGACAGGGTGTCCACATCCCCACTCGGGAAAGCCTAGCCCCCAACACAAACCCTCCCCCGATCAGAAAAAAATTTAATTTGTCGGGGAACTTTTGTATTAAAATATAAATAAATTTTGTTTTAAATGTGGGATTCTTTATTTTAAAAAAATACTTTAAAAGAAAACTATGCCAGCTATGATTCCCAGATCGGGGTACTAAATCCTTGTCGGGGTATCCTGCCATGTGTCGAGAAAGAGCTGGCGTCACCACAGAGACCCATACGATCGCAATAGTATTTACACCTTGCACATATAGTAGCACTGTTTATAATCCTTAAAATTTGATAGCTTAAAAGGCATGCTTGAATTGCACTTTCGGCACTCGAGATTTGATTTTTCTCTGACGACCTTGCTGGAAATTACCAACAAGGCGTCCAAGCAGAGGGTCCACTCTTAAATAGGAATGTACGAACATATGGTATTATGTAGTAGGAAGTGATCTTCCTAAAATGGGGCGAGTGATTGGGTACTCAAATTTTAATCTAATGAGCCTACATAAAATATGTATTTATGTAATGTTCACAGTATTTTTTGGTGAGGGTATTTACTATTTACTATCCTACATACTAGAGGTAAACAGGCTCGTAAATAGTAAAAATAGTTTTTTAATAAAAGTAAAATGATTCTTTGTAATGTATTTCTGCTATTTATGTTTCCACCTCTTCTTACGCTTGACATCGTACTATCAGATAGTCATTATTTTTATTGTCCATGGAAAAATGAATGTTTTTTTGGAAAAATAGCAAATAGAATTTTTTTTTTCATGAGGCTCCAAAATTTGATGAGAGCGGGGACGGGAAAATAGCAATTAATTTTATTTGACCTAACACAAGTTTTTTTTTGTTTTTTTTTAGAAAATTTGAAAATATAATTAAAACAAACCACACACCACCACACTGGTGTAAAAAAATGTCAGCGCATAGTTCCCCAACCAATTGATCAAAGATATTGGCAACTTTTAAGCCGGGTTTTCACTGCGTCGTATTAACATCGCACCACGAATCTAATTGCGTTCCCTGTGAGCACCAAGCCACGTAACGCTGTTTGCTGATTGTCGGTCACCTGAATGGATCGTCATTAAAAACGATTCGTTGTGTATGTGTCGTCGCGTTGCGTCCTTCATAGAATCGCGACGGCCATCAGGCTCAGTGAGTTCCCAGCATTACTGTACAGTAGATTGCCTAATAATCTTTGATTTAGTGTTTCGAATGTTCTATCGTATATTTCACAACAGTATAACTTATTTAGTGGTTAATTAATTTTTTAATATGTATTTTGTTCTTACAGGGCTTCTTCCGTCGTAGCATCCAGAAAAAGATTGAATACAAATGTCACTTTGCTGGTAACTGTCCAATAGAAAGAATTAATAGAAACCGGTGCCAGCACTGCAGGTTTAAAAAATGCCTTGCTGTAGGCATGTCCAAGGATTGTAAGTGTTTTTAACAATTCAATAACGTTAATATAAATTTATTTTTTTTCAAAAGTAATAGTCATTCATAGCGTGATCCTGGAATGATTTACTTTATTTTCACTAGTTTTACCATTTCTTCTAGGGGTCTTTCAACTTTCCTCCTATGAATTTTTTCCTGCTGTTGTCTGTATTAACCAATATTACTTCCTCTATCCATTTCATATTTCCCTTATTCCTGAATTCCATAGTTTTGTCATTTCCTGTCTTCTCACTTGTCTTTAATTCTGTTGCTGACTCTCTTTAGAATATGAAATATAAAATAACAATTTCATGAGTCTTGTATATATGTTGTCCATCGAATTTGATTTAAATTGTAAAATAAGAACTATTATTTGTTAACAGTTCCTCACATGAGAGACAGGTAAAAAAAATTGTACTTAAATGCTGAATTAAATTTTTTAATGGTAAACATAGCTTCACATTTTAAGGATTGTAGTAGGTTAGAGGATTGTTTTTTGGTTCTGAGTTCTGACGTTTCAGTGATTATTTTTAGGTTAGGCCTATTTTTTTTTTCCATTCTTCACATTTATTATTTCAGTACCTCACCAAAAATCACATCTTTTTTATATTTAATTTTAATTATTTATTTTTGCCTTTGATATAATTGGGCCAGATTTCATATATGCTTGGAAGGTCCTGGCATAGTATAGGCTTAATCCAGATAGTGTGATGTTATTTTATGCTCTATTAATTTTCATTATGTTGTAAATCGGTTAATGCGGTGATGTAATTGAGGTAATAGCTACTCCGCGTAACCGCCACCAGATACAATGTTGTTAATATCAATTTACAGATGCAATTGATTTGCATGTGGTGCTGTTGATATGTGTACTAAAACTGTTGTCATCACAAGCAGTATTATACAAATGCTGGGATTTTGTTGACTTCCTTAATGAGAGACTCTATGCATAGCAACCTTAATTCCTCCTTTAATATCCGCACCTGAAGCCAGCGTAGACTGCTGGCAAAAGCGTGTTTTATACGTAATTGAAGTTAGTCTATAAAATGATGCCAGAGTTTTATTTTATACTTAATGTAAGAATATTATCCATAATAATGTCAATTACTATTTTTTGCAAAGGAATATGAAAAAAAAATTGATTTGTGTTAAATTGGTTAGAAAAAACACAAAGAAAGGAAAATACTGAGGCCATTTTTATTGAACGCTTTTGTTACCTATGCCGTACTTGTCAAATTATTTCTACTGTAGTTGTAAGGCAGAGATTGTCCAAGGCCAGTTGAATGTCAATTCTGCACAGTTATTTTCATGCTTAGAGTAAAATAGTTTATTATAGACTAGACCTGGCTTATATAATTATGTATCATAAACTCGCAAGCTCTGTGCATGCACATCTATTTTGTAGATTTGACTCACAAAATGCAACTAATAGCTTTTTTGTGGTTTTTTTAAGGTTATTGAGAATTTAGGAGGATTGACAAAATTTCGAGATAGAAGATTTCATTAAAGTTTGGACAAATCCCGATCAAACCACAATCAAAATGTATGCACCTGTGATCCTTTAAATTGGATATTGTTTGCTATATTAAATAAATATTAAATGTTATTAATTATTATGCAACCTCCATTCCCTTTGTAGTGTAGGAACAGCCTCTATCTTCAACCATAAAATGTCAATGTTATCCGACAATATAGTCTCCATATGGCATCCTCTATTCTTCCTGTAGGAAGGGTTTCCATCCATATCTTCGCAACTTCTGTTTCTCATATTAGGAGTCTAGACTCCATTATTCCATTTCTATGGGAATTTCCATCAATTCACTTTAAACCACATTTTGTTTTGTTTTAGTGTGATTATTTGCCCATTATATAAAGTGCTAATATGACTTGTATTACATTGCATTAAGTAGATTCAGGTTTAAAAGATTTAAAATATGAATTGGAAAAGGGAAATAGGATTTATGTGCAAAAAAAGTTACATATAAAATCAAAGAGTTATGAAAAAATCTATAATTAATGTATCATTAAAGATTAATTAGATTTGATTTGATTTTAATTGCTTACATTATTGTTGGCAAAAATCAATATCAATATCAGTTTTTAATGTTTTTATAATATTCTATGTTTGATAGTTATTCAGATTAATAAAATAAATGCTAGCTAGAATGACATTTTTAAAAATCAATATTTATAATTAATGAAAATAAAATTATCTTGCTGGCCTTGATTTTAAAGGATGTTATAGCACTACCCGCTCTGTAAATTGTTCTCGGGAGGGCAATTTGTATAACTAGCTTTATAACTACAGACGATCAGTAACTGACTATATCTGCGATCAGTTGCGATGTAATCAGTGGTAATCCAAAACTGATTACTCACGATCCCAGTCAGTGAGCGCATCCAGACCAACACGAAAAGCTTTACATTCTAGAACCTACTGTAGGCTTCCGGTGGCTAGGCCTATGTTGACTGACCTAAGCCAAACCGTGCCTGTGGAATTTGTTGTGATTTGTTGCGATCGGATTCCATGGTAACCCGGTGTAATAAAGATTGTAGCACTCAATCCTAACGGGTAACAATTGCGATATCAATTACTTATCGACTACTATTGGTGAGCTTTCACACACGATTTTACTTTGCGATTGGGTGTAGCAATTGCTACGACCTTATCGCAATGCAATGCTAGTCTGATAAGGGTATAATACAGTATGTTATACTTCAACCAGTCTTTGACTGAACATTTTACAATGATCATATTAAAGATAGAAACAGCATGCTTGTGTGCCATCACTGTGGGCTTGGGCAATTTTAAAACCACCGAACAATTTAGAACATTAACATTGATAACTTCAGCCTGTATGGTGGTAAATTACCTGGCAAGTTTTTACTGGTATAAACATTCCTTTTTCTCTGTAAAAAACAGGCATATGGGAATGTTCATTATCAAACTACAATTGAGTAAAGTGTTGTGACTCACTGTATTTGTGCGTTTTTGTAAAGAAAATTAAATGACTATATCTTTTGTGGGACTGCAAAAAACATGCAATCACTTCAATTAGCAAATTTAGAACTTATTTCACAAGGCTTACAACATGTTCTTTTTTTCTATGTTAGTTTAAGAGTTTTTTGTAACATTAAAATTTTTGAAAACTGAAAAATTCCATAAACTGTAGGAGGCCTGCTATGAATTTCAATATAGCCAGCACCAAAGACAAGAAATTTGGTTATTAAATGCACTTGTAACACAAAATTTTCACAGTAATTAACAGGTGAATTAAAGTTATGAAAAGAAAAGTAAATTGGACATTTGAATTGTTTAATGCCTTATCTTTAAACATTTTAAAAAAATATGTAAAATTTTGATATCTTGATAGTGAAATTTATAGTTTTTGTGAAGTCCACTTCAAACACGTTTTTCTCCGAACTTTGTTTTGGTCAGAATTGAAGTTTGTGTCTCTTTGTGGTGTCGGTGATGAATTGTCTCAAGGAATTAGGTACTGATGGATATCATAGCGCACAGCAAAATAAAATTAAATGTGTTTGCAAAGCTCATTTTACCAATTCTTCCTCAAGTGACTACTTCCAACTGCAACCTTCTTTTTCTCTCTTGGGCTGTGATCTGGGGCTATTCACAGCCCATCAGCAGTGTAAGCTGAGATATCTAAGCATGGCTGGCCAAGTATTGTCAGTGTGTGATTCAAACTCCAGATGAGGTTCAGAGTCTGCGTGGAAGTCACTTTCCCAAACCGTTTTCCCAATTTACGTGTCCACCAGGTACCGATACTCCTTTGAGCAGAGAGATCCCAACCACTCTTGCACATAACCACTTCTACTGAATGGTAGCTGGAATGATGTATACATTGTATACATCACCATCATCTGGTCGAGCTTGCTCAGACTTCAGTAACTCTGGTATGCCATCCATAACGATCTGTCATTGCAGCCAGTAGGTCATCTGGAAAGAGGTTTACAGTCTTCAGCTAGCTGGACAACAAACAATTTTGTTTCTGTGTAATGATGACTACAGAAGTGCGTTAAAACTGGTTATAGTTTTCCATAAAGTTGTTTATTTTTTATGTGCCTAGTTTTTTGGTTTAAATATTGAGGGTTGCTCTGAGCATATAAGTGTATGTGCCATTTATTTTTGTTTTCAAGTTTACTGGTAAGTGTCCATATTGTTGCACCATACAAGAGTACTGATTCAGCATTTAAAGTACATACATAGAAAGGCATGTTTATCCTTGAATTTCAACCTATTTTTCTAATCTAAACATTATTGCATTACAATTATGTATTACTCATACTATTCTAAGGATTAAAATTAGGTGTGGGATATGCATTAGTTTAGATAAAAAAATGGAAAGCAAGCAAAAAATCCAGCGCTATTGTAAGCCTCCTTCTGTTGAGTAATAACATTATTTTATTGATACAAGCTCCTCGCCCACACGCAGTGAAATTCAGTGCGTGTTATTTATTCTACCTAATACATAATGATACATACAAAGATGTAAATAATGGTCCGTTTAAACAAGTGTTCAATATTAAATTATGAGTCAGTTGTCCTTCTTCCACATTATTTGCTTTGAAGTAGTTTACAACATTTTACCTCGCATAGTACTATACTGTACTGTACTCAAGATTAGTAATAATTAACAAAATAATTAGAGTATAAATGAGCGTATCGTAAATGCTCGGGTATATAAGCCCACCTTGGATGTAATTCCACCTACTACTTCTTGGGAAACACACTGGTGCAAAAGCCAAGTCTGTGATTCAAATGAGTAGCTAAGCTGACTTTACAGCTACAAAAGAAGACATTACAAATAAAATACAAACAAAATAAATAAATAAGGATTTAAATTGGGCATACAGTGTTGTGAATTTGCTTTTTGATTGTCCATCCCTGAAGTTGAAAAATCAACCCAATTTTCTCTTCATGGGTGTGGTTAACTAGACTGGATCTATTGCATTTAGCTGAAGAAAGCTGTGTTTCTTTCTATAATGGCTTCTAAACATTTATTTTCCTCTTTCCTCTCCTTTTATTTTCCAATTCATTTCTAGGCATAGCTTTTAATCAATCACTTAATGTTGTTTATGAGAATCAGATCCTGTTTATCTTTGTTATGTTCGTGAACTGGCTCTGGCAAAACCCACGGTTTGTAAGAAAAATTCAAAATTTAGTTTTTGGTGTTTTTAGATTCAGCAAGTAGTCTTCTTTAAAGACTATTATTTGATGGAAATTATGAATATTAGCAAAGTTATTAATATTTATTTTATTGTATATCAGCCATGTAGGTTTTGAGCAAACAGATTCCAAAATCAATAGTTTATTATTAAGATTTGTATTTTAAAGATAATTTTAATATACTTTTCATTTAGATTTAGTGGTTGATATTTTACAGAAATGTTCTTCAATATATCTTCTTTTATGAAATGCAGAAACATGAAAATGTTCAAAATTCTGATTCTTGTATTTTGGGTACTTGTGAGAAATAGAAAATGCGACAAACAGAGTTTTTGCCAGAGCCAGTCACATTTATCATTGTGCATTTGGCTTTGATTTAAGGTAGATTTTTTTAGTCCACTTCCAGGGCTTGTGATTTAAGGGCCAAGCGATTGTACACACCTAAACACCTCTTCAGGTGTGTGAAAATCATTCGCCTTAAATCCAGTAAACACTCTAAATACTTTGGCAATGCTTTCTGCTAGGATGTATTTTGTGTTGCTTTGAACTCTGATTACTGCAGTAGTAATTATGTTTAGGCCTATACTAACTATTCCACAAAATCGTAAATGTCACCCTCCCCCAAATAATCACTTGTCTAAACAAAATTAGGTGTGTGTTTTTTAGCTCACATGCTCTTAAAAGTTTTAAACATTCAAAGATTGACTATTTTCTCAACTGTATCTGACAAAGCTTTCTATATTGGCAACAGCTCTTATAAAAAAAAAAAAAAAAAAAAAAAAGAAATAGCCTTAACCTGGAGGTATATGTGACTCACTAATTACTCCATGGTCTTAAATTATTCTGCCTTCACACTTTGCTTACAATAAAATTAGGCAGTTTAGATGACAATGGACAGAAATCGTGGTTATTAATGCTGTCTGGATCCGGCGGTACTTGCAAGGTGAGAATGTTTCTGGCCAGACGTAATCATATTACAGATTACCAAATTAAATACAATTCAGTAAAACCCGACAATGACTACCAACGAAGTGCACTTGCGTCAAAAATAGGTCGAGCGACTTGATTACTATTATACTTAAACTAGTTCAATGATGCTGGAGTCATTCTATCTGCATTAACATGGATTGGTATTCTAGAAGTAGATACTAATGTTTACACTGCACATTTGTATAATGAAATGTATAGTTAATCTGTTTTGCTGTTACATTTGTTAATTTGATAGCAATACATTACAAAATACATAAACACAGGTGTTTTCGGCAACAACACGTTATTAGTCCTCATTTAAAGTAATTTCTTAACATGACCTGACTATATGAATTAATAATAATAATAATTTCCTTAGTGAAAATATATTTTTTAAATATAAATGTTAATTTTCATATGTTTATTGTTGTGATTTTTATTATATATTGTGATTTTGTATTAAAATCAAATTAAGAATAATTTAATTTAATAGTTTCAATTTCTTTATTATAGAAAAAAAAATCCTGTACATTAACACGTTTTAATATGAGCCATTATTAATAACGTAAATCCCCTTAAAATGTAAACATTCTTAACTGTCCTTCAAAGTGATTGGCTATGAAGCAAGTTGTATAGCATCTGTATGTTGAAAATGCTCTACGAAAATCAGTGTGATTGGGACTAGACACTTACTTTAACATAGACCTATTTAATTTAATTTGTGCTTTCACTCCTGCAGGCTGGTTTCTTCTTGTCTAAGCCACCAATTTCCATTCTCATTAACTCATTATATTTTCATTTGTATAATAAATTCTGATAAGACAAATTACTGGTGCAAACACAACGATAGAACACGCCTATTCTTTTACGCAAAAGGTGATATCATCAACGCAAATTTGATGCCGAGGGGAAAACTTTCCTGCCTAATTTGGAAAAAAAAAATAAATAGATTAGAAAATCTAGTTGATATGGTGTTTTGATTTGAGTGGCTTATGTTTGAGGTTTTTTTTTAAGTTAGATCACATGTGAACTTAAGTTAAAGTGAATCAATGAGACGTGTTTTATTTGGCATTTCGGTTGTTGTCTTTTACATGAAATTACTTCAGTGTGTTTCATGGAATCAAGTTGGTATTGAATTGTGATTTGGTAATTGAAAAGAGAACAAATTTCCCGACAAGAAATCTTACCCGGAGGGCTATTGAGTGACAGTGGGGATTTGTGGGTGACTTGCAGGGTTTTGCATAGTGAAGTTCTGGGTGACAGGTGGCTGTTGTTCGGTTATATAGAGAGCTGTTGTTATGGTTTTTGAGGGACTGTTCGGGTGACGTGTGGGGGGGGGGGGGGGGGGGGGGCTGTTTGTAGACTAACATGTGGACTAGAATGAATCTAATTGTAGCTTAGCTTCGCCCCTTGGCTATTGTTACTAATATCTTACAAAAATGACAGCATACATTTCATTAACGTGTGTTTTGTGGGACATCTTTTCTGATTGGTGAGTAGTTAAGATTGATGGACACTGAAAAAGTTCATTGTAATAAAATTTTAACAATTTAGCATTTGCTTTGTTTTTTTTGTTTTTTTTTATAGCTGTACGAATCGGGCGTTACTCAAAACAAATCAAACAGCACCACAAAGATGAGATCACACGTTTACGATCTCGACCCGAAACTCAGGAGGAGAAAGAGGCCCGTGAGCAGCGAGAAATTGAACTATTCACGCTCAGTCAGAAGGTCTTGCAGGCTTATGAATTAACATGCCTTTACACGCAAAAGAACACGGATAGATTACTACAAGCAAAACAGGAGTATCTTGTAAGTTTTGATGGAAATGGTGATCCCTGCTGTTGGGCACATCACAATCAATAATGCATCTTGTATTAATCTTCTTTGTTTAGTGTTGTCGTTAAAAGTTTTTCTCTTTAATTCGATTCCGGTATGTCAAAGTTCAACTTTATCGATTTTTTGTAAACTTAAAACTTGCATGATATCATTCATCACACAACGACAGGTCAATATTAAAGTACAACGCAATCAAATCATTATATAGCTTTTTCATCTTATAGCTGGAGATGATTAAGCAGGGATGAGATCTATGTGGACAGTCACATGTCCATGCAAATGGATACTCTAGGCAAATTACACTTTATACTACTAGACAAACATCCTTGTTGGAGTTGTGATGAGTGGTTTCGTTTACAATGACTATTCATTACCACTCTCCATGTCTTTGTAACCGCGCACAATAGCATTCAGACATTGATATTCTTGTTATAAAGACAACATTTAAGGAGCTTTGGTATTGCAACGATTTATATCAGGATCCTCAGTAGATTTGATATTGTTATTCTGCTGTTTATTATTGATTATAACAATGCGATCATGATACCAATGCATCGAATAAGTAATAAAGGTTAAAGGTAGGAGAATAACCCATAACTCGCAGCATCATTGTGCTGAATTACATTGCTGTGGTCTGTGACTACAGCCACCGTAAGAGGCGCTTATAATAGCTTCATGTTTACATCATTCCACAACGAGGGCTGAAATTAACCATAGCATCGGATTAATGTAACCAGATTTGGGGTGGGGGGAGGCACGAAGGTGAAGTAGGAGGGGGAGCTCGGTGATCAGTTGAGGGGCGCTAATTCGCAAAATAAGGTGATTTTAGGTGGTTTTTCACTACTTGACAATGACCGTGATTTTTGTAGGGGGAGGAAACTGGGGGGGGGGCGAGAGTAATGTTATGTTACTGAATGTAACTCCCTATTCTTATCCGAGAAGATTCTGCCAACCCAACCCTGTGCGGAGAGCGACTCAAACCAGTGCTGATGTTAAAGGCGGTAGTTATCCGTGCCCCTGCCTTACTGCTCAGCCACTCGACTCGCATGACATTTGGGATTGAAAGTTTTTTGCTAACCGTGATAATCATGTATATGATATTTTCTAGATTATTGCAGTACATTGTCATTTGATACACGCTGCAATCATACTTGTAATCTCAATAATCTTTATTCCCAATGGGATATAGTATACATGGCTGTAGTATGTAAATTAGCATGCACTTTGATTGTCACATGTACCTAATTAGCATATAGTCACCCATTAACACATGGTCATTCATCATTGTCTTCATCTGCCAAAACATTAGCAACAATATTGATTATTGTCTGCCCAGTTATCTTCATTATCTACCTGCTTATCAATATCAATTATGTTACTACTTAATATCTGCTTACTTTATTACCTTTCTTTATTTTCTTTCTACTTATTAACTGTTTTTTTATCTTTCTAATTATTACCTATCTTATTTTAATCTCCCTACTTATTACCTATATCCATTTACTTCCTTAATACTTCGTATTCCTATCTTAATACTTATTCCCTATCTTTATTATCTGACTACGTATTATATATATTTATTATCTGCTTACTTATTACCTATAATCATTATCTGCCTACATATTACTTATGCTCATTATCTTCCTACTTATTACCTATATTTATTTTTTATTTTCATTATCTGCCTACTTAATACTTATATTCACTAATATCTGTGTACGTATTTCTTAAATTTTCCAACTTAATTACTGTTATAATTATTATCTGCCATTGTTATAACTATCTTTATTATCTTCTTATATATGACCTCTCATCATACTTACAGTATCTTCCTTATCTGTGTACTTATTACCTATTCTGGTTATTTTAATACTTATTACTTATATAAATTATGTGCTATGTTTTGCATATCTATAATGAATGCATACTTATTACCTACTGTACTTATTTTTATTATCTCTCTACTTATTACCTATTTTCAATACTATATATCCTTAGTACCTATTACCATATCGTCATTAATTTCCTACCACATTCATTATTGATATTTGCCTACTCATAATTAACTTTAAAAACATTTACATATACCAATTTGATGAACAAAGGTTAAATAAAAGTGGAAATAACCAAGGTCTGTTTTCAATTTCAGTTTTGTTTATCTTACGAAATATGAAAGGACAATGATCTGTAGTTCAGTCACACTTTGTGTGAGATTTATTGATTTAATTTTAACAAATAATGATGTGCTCATGAGTTGAAAGAGTTGTGCTCAGGAGGTGAAGGGAATGTGCCCTTGAGATGAATGGCATGTGCTGATGATGCGAAAGGGGTGAAAAAGATGTGCTCATGATACAAAAAGAGAGAGTACATGAGGCAAAAGGGATGTGCTCATGAGGCAAAAGAGGTGTGCTCATAATGCGAAAGGTGTGTGCTCAAGAGGCAAAAATTATTTGCTCATGAGGCGAAACGGATGTGCTCGTGAGGTGAAAAGAGTGAGCTCATGAAGTGAATGGGATGTGTTCAGGAGGCGAAAGAGATGTGCTCATGATACGAAAGGAGTGAGCACATGAGGCAAAAGGGATGTGATCATGAGGTGAAAATGGTATTCCTGAAGCAAAAAAGTGAGCGAGTGGTAAAATGGATGTGTTGATAAGACCTAAGAGATGTTCTTACAAGGCAAAAGAGTTTTACTCATTAAAGCAGAAAAACTGTGATTATGTGGAAAATCAGGTGTGGTCATGTGTAGGTTGACAAAACCCAAAGGGCTGTGGCTATTATTGGAAGTTGTTACATTTTTACCTGTTATTATATATTTCTATAATTTATTTATGTGCGGACCTTGCACTCTTATTTCTATGTAAAACGTTCTTAAAAATGACAAATAAATATATTCTGAATACAAATCTCCTATGAGCCTTTCCTTAGTGTCTGCCATTTACGAAATAGTGCCTGCCAGAAAAAAATCAGGAAAAACTAAAAAATTGAGTCAAAATAATTGTATAGTTCATCAATAATCAAGTATACTTTATTGTTATCGATCAAACACGTGACACAATGACATTTGTTTTAGTACAACTTTAATCATTGTTTATGAGTAACTGAAATATTGTTTTCCTTTTTTCCCATTCAAAGAATAAATTTCCTGACAAGTCGAAGATGGGTTTACCACATATTGAAGGTTGTGTCTTATCAACAGAGGAGAAGTCGTCGGAGAAGAAAACAATTTGGAGAATGTTTTGTGAAGCAATTACACCATGTGTTCAAAGAATTATAGAATTTGCCAAATGTTTACCCGGGTTCCAGACTTTACTACAGGTTTGCTAATATTATCAACACATTTTTTTTTTATTTACATCTTTAGAATTCAATTCAAAATGTGGTAGAACAGTCATACTGATACACAACATAAAATCAGTAGGGAATCAACACCGTTTCACTGACGTAGGTTGGTTTTGACCTTGGAAAAGGAGTGTGAACATTGAGAATGTGAAACTAAATCACTGTTTCAGTGAATACTTTATTTACAAACACTTAGTGGAACTAGTTTGCCACTGTGGGGGGATGGGGTATGTGGAGAGTACACTCCCCCTCACCTTGCAAACCAAGCAAACCAAGCTAGAGTTGTGGTTAAGTTAAACCATCAATACACATGTACTATCCTTTTGTTTTTTCCCCAATTATTTTTTTTAATTATTTAAATAACTAGTAATACATATATTTTTTTTCTAGCATAATTTTTCACTCTTCTGGGTTTGACAAATCATTGCTGATGGGGGGGGGGCTTGGCCTGCCCTACAGGGGCTTAATCCCCTTGCTTCTGCTTACACTGCCACTGTTTCGTAGCATTGTGATCCAGGTTTACATAATGTTTATTTTCATTTTGAAGTTTCAGCATATTTTATACAATTCAAGGTCGAAAGAGCATATTTGACTCATAAATCCTCAGAATCCGTGATACTCAGCCTAGTCTATTAATATGCAAATGGACCTAGGGAAGGATTATAGCTCTGCGCACTATGTTGGTGTTATATATTGTACACCTTTTTATATCATGAATTGTTTGGTATAATTTCTTCAGACTAGTTCACAATATCAACGCTTTGTATTTTGCTATGGCTTTGTATTATATCTGGATCTGTAGAAGTATACACATCATTCTTTTGAACAAATTAACTTAGGATTGTGTACTGCTTTGCATATACATTTAATTTTTTTTTTATGCATTTTGAGCATCAATTACCATTAGTTTATCCTTTTTTTTTCTCCTGGAGATTTATAAATCCTGTATTAAAAGAATAAACTTGCTATCAAACAATGTATGGGAATTTTAGTCATTCACTTTTATAGCATGTTTATAATATCTATGTAGTGATTCTCTCTGCGGTCGATTTTATTAATTCGCTTATGTAAACATGTGAGGCTCAAGTGACTTTGTATATTTGTTTTGTTTTTTTTTTTTCACTTTCAATTCTCTTTTAATTTAGGTTGTGTTATGTCTTGCAGTTTTGTAAAGTTACTATATTTTTATTAGGACCCAATTGAGATTAATCTTTCAAAATTCTCCATTTTCTTAATTTTTTGTGACTGTCTTTGCCAATGTCCAGTGGAGTCCAAGAGGCTTAGGACCATGTCAAGAAAGAAGTCAATCATTTCTTCGAGGAAAACTGGTTTTCCGGTCATCCAGATGTGCCTATTAAAATTTGCTCCAACAGTAGTGTAGCTAATGTGCACGTGGACCCCTTTTTTATCCTTAGACCACTTGTTGGAAACACTGACCCCCCTACCTGTAAAGACTTTTGACCCCTCCTCAAGGAATCCCTGTTATCGTCTCTGCATACGTTATTCATATTCCATGTAAATATATCTTGTTTATGGTGATACATTAACTTCCTTTTCATTACAACACATTGATCTTTGTGAGCTTGACCAATACCTATGTAAATATATTATAAATCTGAAATTTATAAAATATTTTCATTTAAAGACATTTGGAAATTTTGAATAGTTTTGCAATATTAAATTTATGTTTAAGGTTTTAAATTAATTTTCTATTTGAAATGATGAATTATAATAATAAATAATATTTCATTCATTCATTCTGGTTTGATAAATCAATAACATTCAACATTGCAGTATTGAGATAAGCAGAATCAAACAACAACATTCACAAAACAAAGCTCAACAATATATACATGCAAAAGTACTAAATATAAAAATTGCTTACGAAGATAAAAATTACAGAAATTACAAAAAGACAAGTACAGTAATGATAAATTCTAGTAAACTTAACAAAATTTCGATAAAATTTGATTCCTAAAGAATTATACAAAGTACATGATAAACCTTATTTGTTCAGTGTAAGAAATAATTATATTATTAATATGTACATTATTATATAGCGTTCTACACAGAGCGCTTTTCCACATTATTACCCAGTCATTGGAACAATGTCTGGGGATATTTAATAGTTTGCCGCATGAAATATGTCAGCACATTTCGCACTCAGTCCTCCTCAGCTACCCATTTACACTCCTGGGCGGTGGGGAGCAACATAGATAAAAGTGCCTGGCTCAAGAACACAAGCGAAATGCACAGCAAGGGATTGAAACCCTGACCTCGAGGTTGGGAAACCAAACCATTTCCAGCTGAAGTCAAGAAATGATATTGTTCACATTAAATAATTAAGAAAATTAATAGGCCTATAAACAGAAAAAAAAATTAGCAAAAAAAAAAAAAATACTAATTTACTAGTATTCATTTTCTTCCTTTGGTTGCTAAAATAAATGAATAAAATAAATATACATCATAATAAACAATTGTTTTTGCATTCCTTCAACATGATGTTATCCACAGTGACAAGTATTGATGTCTCATTGTCATTATTACCAACATTTAAGATGCTAATACAAATGGCGCTGGTGATTATCACTCACTATGTAGATGTAAATCGAACATCGTGCCACTAATATATGATAAATCCCTTATTGATATATTCTGTACGCAGTGGTCAAGCAATTTTCGTAATATGCAATGAACATTTATGTTTTTGTAGCTAGGATATGAATTGTAGCATCTTGAGACAATCATGTTAAATACATATAATATTTCGTTTGCAACAAATTCTCGATAAGAATATCAATCTCTCCAAATTGACACATCACAAAAAGATACCGTACAGCAAAATAAATTCAAAATAGTAATCATTTTTTATGCCGTTAAACAGCAGCAGGAATGGGGGAAAAAACATCTTACATGTGTTATATTATTTCGAGGTTGACAACATGAGCTTATCATGTCAAATTGAGAATGTTTCATAAATAATTTGAAAAAAATGATGGTCGAATTTGAAATAAAGAAAAGCAAGTGTGTTTGGTACAGTGGGTTGACATTGTTGCTGATGCATTTTATACTGTTTCATTATGTTTAAAAATATTTCCACCCATCTTTTAAATTGTTCCACCTACACATATTTTTTAAGGCTACAACCTTGCATGGCTCAAGTATCAAATACTAATAGCAGTTGTGTGATATGAATTTTAAGTTGTAACAAAAAAATATTATTGAATTTTATATTATGGAGTTTAACAAACAGAACATACAATTTTTAGGTGGAGATAAATGAGTAAGAGTATCCGTTTGATGTATTGCAAATGTACATTTATGTTGGCGATTATGGCGTTTTGGATCTTCAGTGAATTGAATTGAACTTAATGAAGCGATTATGGCCTTTTGGATCTTCAGTAAATTAAATTGAACTTAATGATATCCGCATAATGATGATGATGATGATGATAACTATCATGACAGTGACGATGATGACAATGACAATAATGGTGATTTGAGTATATACTAATTATTTTATTTTGTTCTTCACAGGATGACCAAATGACACTATTAAAGCAAAGCTTCTTTGAAGTCTGGCTCATTTACATATCACGGATGATCAGTGATTCAGACGACACCATCGGTATCCGAGAAGACGTGGTTTTCACGCATGAGCAGCTGAATAAGATGGGAATGGCGGATCTTTGGCGGCGGGTGTTTGAGTTCAGTACTACTTTCAAATTGCTTAATTTAAGCGACATGGAAATAGCGTTGTTCTCCGCTGTTGTTATAATGAGTGGCGGTATGTATTTTTGTCTCAAGTTCTTATATGGTCCAGCTTTTTTATGAAGTGAGATACATCAAATTACACTCAGATTTTATACATATCACAAGTTAATGATCAACTCTGCCTAATATGTATTATTTTTATAAATTTTATTTATTGTATATATGTATATAATAACTTTATTTCATAAAGTGCAAACAATATCCATTTAAAATGTTCACAGAATTTGTAGAGAATATTAAAAATAGAAATTGATAAAAATAAACATGTTTAATAAAAAGCTATGAGCGTACATATAGCTAGCTGTGCTATAAATAATTACTTTATTCTTTTGAGAACATATACTTAGTACCATAAAAAAGATGCTAGACACTGAGTTACTGACTGTCTCATCATCATAAATCACAACGTCCTTTGCATCAATCTCTCTTACAATGTAATAAACAAAATGGCTACTGAGTTTCGCAGGAATGACTTATTGAAACTAGTTGTTCTTGAAAACAGTGGTGTAATTCTTGATTGCAACTATTTATATCCATAATGGAGTTGGTGATTACACACATTAAATGTAACTATGCTTCATCACAACTAAAATGAATATGTCAAAAATTTAAAACATCAGCAAATTACGAAACAATTATATTTCCCTCCTCCCACACCTCAACACAAATATAAATAAAATTTTCAACTTACATGAATTCCTATAAAGACAAAAAATTAACTGTGGATAAGCAATACTATAAACAATACTATTTTGAATATTTTTAAAAAATAAATTTTAAAACATCAGCAAATTACGAAACAATTATATTTCCCTCCTCCCACACCTCAACACAAATATAAATAAAATTCTCAACTTACATGAATTCCTATAAAGACAAAAAATTAACTGTGGATAAGCAATACTATAAACAATACTATTTTGAATATTTTTTAAAAATAAAGTTTGTAATTAAAACTATCTTGAAATTCTTCAGTTTGGTTGGATAACTTTAAGAGACCGGTTGTACTTGTTTTTATAGATAGGTACATGTACCCTTCTTGCTTACCGGACCCTTTTCATTCAAGTCTTGAGTGAAATAAAATTATGAATTATGAATATCAAGCTATTGAAATTCAGAGGAAACCAAATTCATAACATTTTGATTTTGAAAAAGAATTATAAAAACTCAGCTACAGGAAACTTTTATGTGTTGCTTGGTGATGTTAATATGCGTTTGTTTTACCTAAGTGGTTATTGAGATAATTTTACCACTGAAGAAACTGATTCATGTAAATAAACGGGGGTAAAGAAAATTCTCCCTGCTGAAATGCTATGTACTATGACACATTGCTGTCCAATGGGGATTGCAATATGCCAGAGTACATTGCAATCACACGGAGGAAATGGACGGATCCTAGGCATGAGAATCGACTGCCAACTGCTAGTATTATTACAAGATATAATTGAACATAGATTGAACACAAGGAATGGATATCATGGGATAAAACTGAAGGGAATTAGGCAGAAATTGAATCTAAATGCAGTGATCGACATGAACATGTGTGCAACACATAGATATCAATGTGGTTTCTATCACCAAACATTACATATGATCCCACAGTTGTCTTACTGACAGATAAACCCTGGTACAGGCACGAATTAAATTTATATTTTCAAAAAAAATTAAGATTAGGAATGATGCTGGAGGTTGAACATGTCATGCACTTCCTTCTGGGTTCTGCCATAAAATACTTTTTATTAAAATGATGATGATGATGATTTTTTAGGACATATGACAAGGGGGGAAGCAGGAAATACAAAATGGACACTATCATCTTTACAAATTTCATTTTTTTCATACATGATAAATCAATGTTGCAGACTAAATCAGACTAAATCATTACATTTAAGAACAAACATTGATTATGAAAATACAGTATTGTCATTCAACATAAACTTATAAGACAAAATTTATATTATTCAGGTTTTAAGCACCCTTCCGCTGTTAAAGTGTTCTGTGTTTTAAATCTTAAATTGAAACATTGAGTAAATCAGCTTCCAAAAATGATTTGATTGTAACTTATTAGTTCCTTGCATTTAATGCAGTATGTAATCACTTTTCTGTGTGTGTAGACATCCAAGTATTTATAGAATTTTCTGAAAATTTGTTTTGTGGAAAAAGTTTACTTAAACTTTATAAAAGTGATCAGGTTGGACCTTTGTTAATCCCGTATTTTACTTTTTCGGTTCGCATAAAAACCCAAAGTGATCGCATGGTGATCAGGTTGGGCTGTTCCGTATTTTATTTTTTGGCTCGCAAAAACGTTTAAAGTGTCGTTTTTTGTGTGTAGTTCGAGATTACGAGGTTCGGATTTTTCATTGTTGTATTTTTATCAAGATTTCACATATTGGCAAGTTGTGTGATTCATAAATATATACGGATTATTTTGATACCAATATCTTTATAATTCGACTTCGTGAAGAAGTAAAACAGAAAAAAAAACTTAGCCCCTGTCAAGTGAAAATTTTAACCCCGAAGCCTGCGGGCTTGCTGCGTTATCGAGCGCCGCCAGCATGGATCATCACACGATGATGCGATGTGTTGCCAAAGATAATGGGCTAACCACACATGATTGAAGTGGGGTTGTTCATATATTGATAATTTAAGGAAAATTGTATATATCTGCATAGGAACTTTGAAGCCTGTCAAGGCTCTGGTTGATAAGCAATATCATTGGGAAAACTTACCCAAGTTTCAAGCGCTATCAGCACGCTTTCTCAAGGTTGAATGACCTGCTAGATGTTCTGAAATTGAAAGTTTCTTTTGGTTGGACCTGCAGCTGTTCAGTTGTAGAAAATAAATATTAGTAAATATAGTTATATACTGTAAGTTCAACATTGTGAAACCTTTAACTATGAAATATTTTAAATAATTTAGTTTTTATGATAAAATAATACTAATAACATAATGATAATGCATTAAATTACTATTTCTTTTATAGTAAGTTTTATGATCGTATTTGCACTAATACCAACTTCAGTTTATTTTTTAAAAAATCGCAGCCAAGAGGTGAAATTATATGACATTTCACAAATTAAAATAAAGACAAGCTAATATTCGTACTATGCACACGAAAAAGAGACTCATAAAAAACAAAAACAAAAAAAAATTTCATGGTATTCAAACTAAAAAATATCAAAAATTACATCAAAAGTAAGGAAACAAAACTGGCAGTCATTAAACAAGCAAACAAGTGGTAAAAAACACATCAATAATAATAATAATAATACCCAAATATTTATAAGGCGCCAATTTCAAATTGAATGATGAAAGGAGCGAGCGTTATTACATCAAGTAATAACAAACAGCATAAATAGCAAACAGTGACACTCAACTAAACATGAGACATAATCGATTTGGAAGAGTGAATGTCAATTCTGACACAAAATGTTAGAGAGGCCCTTCATACACACACTTCTCAACATATCCTCCTTCACCTTCACACCAGCAAATTCAATCATTGTTAATTCAATAATATGTTGATAAAGGCCTTGATAATATTAGTACAATGTTAACTGCTGTTCTGTTATGTTTAGGGTGTTTTTTTGCTTGCAATGCCAATAAAATGCCTGTTTTGCTTATACAATGAAGTATTTTTCTGTTCTCTAACCTTCCTTAGACGTGTTCGTCAACAGAATTTATATTTTCAGCCAGGCCAGTCCAATTGCTCTCCTAGGTCAATCATCTTTAGCATTCATTAGACAGGAATTTTTTCTAACTTATAAAGCGAACCCGTTGGCCAGTTATTTTAAATAAAAATAACATTTAATTTTGGGCCATACCTCCCGCCACAAAGAATTGAAATTTAAAGGAGAGAAAACTTTTTTTTTTTTACGCCATCACTGCTATGAAATCCCCCAAAATAAGAATTTCTTTCTTAATGATATAAATTTAAAGCATTTATCAGTAACGTTACTCTGTTTCCATCATATTCAATATGATCTGTAGTGGAAGCAGAACACCTATTACTTTTTTTAACCTCGTACACTCGGCAATATTTGTATTCATCAATAAAATTTTTATTTTATTTTCTCCTTCGCCTAGATGCTTTTGGCAAATCCATTTTGCTAAATAAGAAAACAAAATTGGTTTTTTTTTCCGACCTTCTTTGACGATTCTTTGAATATGTTCGCTAAAAAAAAGGTATAAAAAGTCTTACCTTAACATGGATGTACGCATGGCAAAGAAAATATGAAGGCCTCCGCAAAGTTTACAGCCCATAGACACTACACCATTATTAATTATACAAGATTAATTATTTATACAAAATTTATATAAGCATATAAATTGTTTTCTATCCCAGATCGTGCTGGCCTGAAAGATGCAAGACAAATTGAAATCCAACAGGAAAAGTTTATAGAATGTCTACGACGTGAGGTTACGAGACGCGAGATGAAAACTCATCACACATTTCCACGATTACTCATGAAGATGACCACTCTAAGATCTATATCGGCATTGCAGACGGAGAAGATGATATGTTTCCGTCTTGCCAGTCCGCAGGTCGAGATTCCATCCCTGTTAGCCGAGCTGAACGATGTAACACAAGAAGAGTTACCGCTCAACATAAACCTACAAACTAATGGTAATGCAATGTGAGTATAATTCGGTTTTGTTTTTTTTCAATTCCTTATGCAGAAAGAAAAGAAGCATTGATAAAAACTCAACGGAAAATGAGAAAGATAGATGGACTACATTAAGAAAGATGGAAGAGGGGTGGACTTTATAGTAGGTTGCATAAGATGAAGGGCGATATCAAGAAGACCCAACTCACCATGGCCGGACAAACAGGAAGATTTTGATTTTATTTTATTAATATTTTATTTAGTATTAGAACACTAAATAAAATAAAATGATCATCTTCCTCTTTTATACTCCCTCTTTCTGAGTTAAAATATAGTTATAATTTCCATGATTATTAGTTGTAGTTTTGGGGATTTCGGCCCCCAGTGAAATTGACCTCTGGCTATACATCTTGGAGATAGTGGATTGAGCACTCTACAGGTTGAATTTTCTGAACAAGGAGGTGCAATTCCTAGAAAATTTTGCCGTTGGGCGGCTGAATTAAATATTCATTTTGACATTCTTAACTATAATATAAACCCAGCATAAAAACAGATAATAATGGCAATTGTAACTACACTAATATATACTGAGTAAAAGATGTTGTGTGAATAATTACGATGATTATTTTTTCCACTACTAATTCAATCATTGCAGGTCTAATTACACCTTGTAATACTTAACTACTTTTTATTTTTGTCTTTAAAGACGAAGCAGGTTGCAGAAACGACCTCACGACATAAGCGAGCAACTGCCATTAACGAAAATCATAAAAACGGGAGGACTATTCCAGCCTCCTATGAGTATCTCTGGTACGCGTACAACACCTGTGGAACTGGCTACAGCAATTCACTCATAAACATTGATTGGTCAAAGCGTTGCATAGCAACTTGACCCTTTCAAATGATTGGTTAGCTGGTGGTTATATAATTGTTTTAACTGTAGTGTGTATATCAACTATTTGGGATGAATTTGTTGAATAAGTGTCTTTTCTCTGGGACTTTTATGCATATCATGGGTTTTCGTTTTGGACCTTAATTTTTTTGGATTTATTCTGTTTTTGGAACTTTAATCGATTGTGTTCCTGAACACAAATGTATAGACTTTTTTAATCTGATTGTAAACATTTCAATAAATTTCATGTCAGGAATGATCCCTGGTAATACAATCAAATGAACTATGAATTAATATATTGTTATGAATTAATTATCATTGTATTACTCATTTCAAGATAAACTTTTACAACTAATATAATCTTATAGGCCAAACATCTATTGTGTTCTCTAAGCGAGTATGCAAATTATTGCCAAATTTTAAACTTGCCAAGGTACTTAACATTTTGAGGCTTCTTTCTTGGATTTAAACAGGGTTTTTAATCTTTGCTAATCATTTATATTCTCTTGTAGTCTTTCTTATTTTACCTTATCTCTTGTTAGTTTCCTCAGATGATGAAAGCATATCAGTTTAGTATGATTCAGTTGCTTCCTGAGAAACAAGTGGTTTTTTTTCCATTTTTTATTATTGTGGGCCAATATTGGTGCTGTGAAATAAGACACAGTTTTAAAATTTTGTACCTTTTAACTTATTAATTTGCTATGAACTTATCAGTGTATTGTATAGAGGGAAATAGTTTACCTGCGGAGGATAACAGTACCACATGATGTATAGTTATCATATCAAATTTGTTAATAGTTTCCAAATGGACTTCTGGAAATATATGTGTTGTCCACAGCTTCTAAAGTTTGTGAAATCTCCAGATTGTAGATGTTAGTGTTAAAATTTGACTTAATCAAGGAAGTCAAGTTTACATTATCTTTTAGCTTGCCTGTGTATATAATTGTTGTTTTTTTATTGCTGTCTGATTTAGTTTCTTGGTTGGAAAGTCAACATAAAAATATTTGTTTTAAGTGAAAAGTTTATTATTACATGGTGATTTTTTTAAAATTATTTTTCATTATTTAAATATCTGAAAATTGAGTCACAAATTGTATCAATTCATGAATTGTGGGTGCCAGGGTTTATGTAAGGCTTACAGCTAAATACTATGTTAAGTATATCATTTATCATTTCTTATTAAGCTAAGACTCGACTGTGGTTATCCAAAATTGAATTTAACAAATTAATTTAAAATTTGATCAGCCAAATTCTTAATATTTGCATAGATATTCCACCTGGGGGTTAATAACGTCATTGGAAAGATGTAATGAAAACAATATTTGCTATCTGTCAATGTAGAGTAATTTTACTATGTTAGGCCATGATGAATGTAATCAAATGTTTATACCAGTCTTTTGACTACCTAGGTAATGTGTGACATAACATTTTTGACATACTGTAATAGGCCTGGAATTTGTAAAAAGTAATACCGTACCTAAAGTGTGACTGATCTCTTTTTTTGAGGACTGCCATCTAATAAATCTTTGGCTTCTATTAGTATTTGGTGTGCAGAATGTTTGAAAACCTGAATTATGTAAATTGCCACCTACTAATTTGAATAATGATTTATAAGGAGTGTACGTGCTGAATTATGACAGGTGTTTTGTGATAAGTACAACTTTAATCTTTTGTACTATGTTATGGATGAATTTTATACTTAAAAAAACAGAGATATAATGCCACACTCGCATCTCAATAGTGCATACATGCAAGGTAATAGTCAGTAAAGCATCATTTATAGATTATGTGACTGTGTTATACATCAAAGCCAATCATGTAGGTGCAGCTCAAAATGGATTAAACAGGCTTAAAATTAATGTTGACGTCAATTTGCGATATAGCCATTTTAACGCTCAAAAAGACTATGCTAATATCACGTTATTTCTTGAACTACTTTAGTTGATTTTGTTTTAACCAGAATGCAGTGGAAATGTATCGCAACGTTTCGTTGAACCCAAATCATGAGGCTATTGAACTGTGTTAATAAACCAGGTATTACATAAACTAGTTAACATTCTGATTGAGTTTGAATTAGCAATGATAGATTTTAATCTGAGATTTAGTTGTTTAAACTAAAACACATGGAGTACAGTCACCCTATTTAGTATTTAGAAAGTATTTATTTTACTAGCTATCCTTAAGGTTAGGTTTGGAGTGTGCCCTCACTCATCACAAAATACTGTATAATAGAATTATAGCCCTTCTATCGGCTAAAAATTATATACTTTCAGAATTGATTGTAGTCCAATTTTGAACACCATAATATGACTACCAGGAGAAAGTACCTATTGCCAAATTTAATATTAACACAAACATATTTTTTGTATATCATTTGTTTCTGTTTTTAATATTACAGATATATTATACATTATTTTAATTAAGTCCAACATATTAGAATATTGTTTAGGTTGTTAAGAACATTCATTCTTTCAGAAAATATTATTAAATGTTTTTTAGGTTAGATTCAACTTCAATGTATTTATGCATTGATATGATTTTTTTTTAATTATTACTCAGTGTAACCCTACATTTTTTTTCAAGAATTAAACCTGGTTATATGTTACTTAGTGAAATCAAGTGATTCATCCACATCTTTTATACAGGCCTTCACTTTAGTGTGATAACATAAACATCAACCTTAGTAACTGTTGTTTTAATTCATTACCAGGTAACCTATTCTAAATTGATAACAAATACTTAACACATGTCATCAGTCTTATTTATTTATGATTTTCCAACATTTATAAAATGGCATAAAGAGCTAAAAACATTTCATTTTTATCAACATCAACACAAATTTAGCTGGCGATAAACCAAAAGTTAACAATGCACTCTTCTTGCTTTGATGCCATATTTATTTGAATGGATGTTCAAAATGCAATTGCACAGATATTAAAACTCAAACACACGCAAATGTATAAAATCAAGAAAAAAAAATAGTTGCACTGCATACATGTTTTGCAGACCTGTTCATTTACTTATGATATATGTGTTTAGAAACTCGAATATTCATGCTTTTTGCTTTCCCAACACTATTGTGAATTAACTTAAAGCGAGTTAATATGCTAGGTGAAAGCCTTCATTTACCACCTCCTGAACATGGCAACCCATCTCAAACCTTGTAATTTTTACACTCAGTATTAGTAGTAGTGTTAGTCGTCTTAGTGAGATTCAGATATTTGGACTAAATCAATCAATCAATCAATATTATTAGATTTACCCCCAGACATGGGATTAGTTTGTAGGTTAGTAGTAAGTAGCCTAGGTGTCATGTAACATTTTCAGTAGGAATTATTTTAGTTGAAGGGCATTCACTAGTATTACCAAAGTTACCTGAGTTGTATTTTTAATGTGCATTTAATTGTTGCAGTGTTATGCATTTGATTAACTCTATTCAAATTATTAGCCAATATCGGATTAGACAAAATCCATCTGAATACCATGAATTTACAACATCTTTATTGCATGAAATATAAACTTAAAATGGCAGATACAGGTACCACAGGTACTGTATTGGGCATCATTTTGCCTGTACAAGTACAATGTACAGTAATGGCTAGATAAAGGCTCGATTCATGGGATTATAAATCAGGATGTGTACATTTTTAACAAACCTAAACATGAATGGGGCCTAGACAAAATTATAAACAAACCTTTCCAAATGTGACTATAACAACTGTAAGACAATATATTTCCAAAAGGTGATACACTCTTTAAATTTCACCATCGTATGGATTAGAAAGTTTTGTTAACAGCCTATTAGAAATCAAGTATTACGTCACAAGAATGCTATTTAATATAGGCCTATAGCTAAACATTTTTTGTTGTTGGAGATACTTCACAAGTATCTTATTACCAATGTTGAACAATCATGCTTACAAATTTGATAACTGGTTTTTGTTTGCTTGATTCAAGAGGGCTTGAATATATGTTAATGATGCATTTTTATTAATTATTTATATACAGTATTTTGTTGACATTTATTGTAAAATGTGTTATTTGTCTCTTGTATTTATTGTTCTTACTCATAAATGGGCCTTAATATGTCAGCCTAAGATAGTCTTTATTTGGGGCATGGTGACATTATTTTATTCTTAATGAAAATGAGCCTTACTTTGTCGGCCTAAGATAATGTCTTTATTTGGGGCATGGTGACATTAATGTTCTTAATGATAATGGGCCTTATGTCGGCCTAAGAAAATGTTTTTTATTTGGGGTATGGTGACATTATTATACTTAATGATAATGGGCCTTACTATGTCAGCCTAGGATCCTAAGATAATGTTTTTGTTTCGGGCATTTTGACATTAATGTTCTGAATAATAATGGGCCTTACTATGTAGGTATAAGAAAATGGGTTTTTTTTTTGGTTTTTTCTTTTTGGCATGGTGACATTAATGTTATGAATAATATTGGGCCTTACTATGTAACAGCCTAAGAGAGTGTTTTTATTTGGGGCATGTTGACATTATCTAGGAACCAGTTGGTGATATCAAGACTACAGTTCTAAAGCTCAATTACATATCATGTGTTTCTTAAATGTCGGAATCAACATATAGTTTAATCGAGAGAATACTGTATTTCAAACCTGTATACTTGGTACAATAATACTATACAGTACCTTTTTTTGTAAATCCATACAGCATATCTCTTAAAAACTATACCTGGGTATAATGTTTAATGTCTGATTTTGTATCCTTGCTTCAGCCCATATTTTGTCTGAACAAACATGTTTGACAGAAAAAATGATGATGGTATATGCCTAATTTGAATTTGTGCAGATATGTATATATTCATTGGCATGATTTAGTGGCTGAGGTTGTGTACAGGGTAATACAGTATGGTGAATCTACTTTATATTCATCATCATTGTACAAATTTTCCAAGTAGACACGCACGATGAAATATAGTGTGCGCACGTTTGTGTCTCTATGGGTCACTCACCCGGTGGAAGTAATAGGGAGCTTTCAATTTGTGCGACGACGCACGACGCTAGAACGGAATCACTCATGCGTGACCGTCCTGCCTGGCACCCTACGTTTTCTGCATACGTACGTAGATTTGGCCAAATTGCGTTCCAGAATTTACAGAGAAGATGATGGAATGATCTCCAACATTCATTACATTTAGCGTGTACACATTTTTGTATTTCATAGACATTCATTTTATTTGATTTTTGTCCGAGCTTGGTTATAAAATTGGATTCATGTTAAATGATGTTTGTGGGTCTTTGCAATGTACACACCTCACATTGAAACTGCATGCATGCATTTTTCAAATTTAAGATTTGTCATCTATTTGATTGTACTTGCCAATTTGGACTCATGTCAAAGGTCGTTTTATTGGACATGGGGTATACATTTAAATGATTCGAATTCGAATTTGTTCTGTTATTGTTCAAAGCCATAAGCAGAAAAACCATTACAATTGTACTGGTCTTGTTCATATAGTATACTATACACCTGAGTTATGTTAATTTTTTTTATGGTATTGTTCAGTAGGGTATAAACCTAGTTTCAGCGAATGTGTATTACATACAGTCTCTGTTGCACTTTTTGTTTAAAAATGTCCCAATACACTGAAAGCAGTAATTCACTGTAGTGTATTCTTTTAATAATAAATTTGGTATTTTAACACATATGAACTTGCGAAGGCACCATATTTAATTATTGTTTATTGGTATTTTAGGCTGATACGTGCCGTATATTTATGTAATTTAATGGCGAATTGATTTGTAATACAAGGTTTACGGCTTGTGTAAACTTGAGACCAGTACACCGGGGTTGTTGCTGTACATAATTGTATAGA